GCCTCTGGACATTGCCTTGTTTAACAACGTTATTTTGGCTACCCTGGGTCTTTTGTTATTCCATACAAAATTGATTATTGTTCTTTCAAACTCTGTGAAGAATTGTGCTGTTATTTGAATGGGGATTGCATTGAATTTGTAGATTGATTTTGACAGGATTGCCATTTTAACTACATTGATCCTACCTCTGCAAGAGCATGTTAGATCTTTCCATTTTCTGAGGGCTTCTTTAATTTCTTTCCTTAAAGATTCATAGTTCTTGTGATACAGGTCTTTCACTTGTTTGGTTAGTGTTACCCCAAGGTATTTTACGTTGTTTGTGGCAATTGTAAAGGGTGATGTTTCTCTGATTTCTTTCTCAGCCCTTTTTATCATCTGTATATAGTAGGGCTACTGATTTTCTTGAGTTGATTGTGTAGCCTGACACTTTGCTGAAGGTGTAAATCAGCTGTAAGTTTTCCTTGTTAAAGTTCTTTGGGTCATTTATATAAACTATCATATCATCTGCAAATAGTGAAAGTTTGAACTCTTCCTTCCCAATTTGTATCCCCTTGATCCCCTTTTGTTGTCGTATGGCAATGGCTAGAATTTCATGTAAAATTTTGAAAATGTATGGAGAGAGTGGACAGCCTTGTCTTATTCCTGATTTTAGAGGAATTGCATTGAGTTTCTGTCCATTTAGTTTGATGTTGCCTGTTGGTTTACTGTATATAGCTTTTATTATGTTTAGGTATGTTCCTGTTATCCCAGATCTCTCAAAGACCTTTATCATGAAGGGTGTTGGATTTTGTCAAAGGCTTTTTCAGCATCTAGTGAGAGGATCATGTGATTTTGTTTTTCAGTTTGTTTATATAGTGGATTATATTGATGGATTTTCGTATGTTGAGCCATCCCTGCATCCCTGGGATGAAACCTACTTTTTCGTGGTGAATGATTGTTTTGATGTGTTCTTGTATCCGATTTGCCAGTATTTTATTGAGTATTTTTGCATCAATGTTTATGAGGAATATTGGTCTGAAATTCTCTTTCTTAGTTGTGTCTTTGTGTGGCTTGGCGATCAAAGTTATTGAAGCCTCATAGAATGAGTTTGGCAAAGACCCTTCTGCTTCTATTGTATCAAACACACCTACTCTTTTATTTGCTGTTTAAAATATGGTTTTCCCTGCAGTGGAGACAGGAGATCAATTGGTTATGCTTCCTGACTGGAACTCTACATGTAGCCCAGGATAGCCCCTCTTAACCATACTCTTGCCTATCATTGAGAGTGTTGGGATTCCCTATTTTAGCTATGATGCCTGGGTAGTGCTTTTGGCTGTCCAACAGTGCATAGTTGCCTGGTTGTAGTTATATATTATTTAATATATTAAAGCTTGACTGAGGATACAGAAAGCTAAATCAGCCTAAAGCTGTAGAGAGCCGACATTGGTGACTCACACCTTTAATCCCTCCAGCAGAAGCCAATTGTTGGTGGTACACACCTTTAATCCTAGAACTCAGGACTGAAAGACAGACTGATCTCTCTGTGTTCAAGACCACCTTGGGATCCATGAGATTGAGTTAGTGTAAAAGAGTAACAGATCGCAATCACACACCTATAATCCCAGCACTAGAGAGGTATAAAGGATAGAAGCAGTGCCCTCAGTATTCAGTACATTCATTCTGCAGGCAGGAAAGAGAGGCAGTAGTTGGAGGTTTGGTGAAGAGGTCGTGCATGGATCAACCCATTCTGCTTGAGACTGAGGTAAGAGCTAGTTGCCATCTGCTTTGCTTTTCTGAAATTCAGCTTCAAGTTTGAACTCCAGTATCAGTCTCTGGGTCATTTACTTAGCGTGCTGCACCTGGCGTGGTGGCAGGAGCCTCTAGTGGCAGCACTTTATGGGCACAGTTAGAGCACTGCACGCCAGTCCAGTCTCTGTAGTATTCCTTCAGGTGAGTTCAGGTTAGGAGATCAAATAAGATTTGGTATGTGTTGATGTAGGAGGATTTCTTGTTGGGTTTTGGGCCCAATATTACATGTGCTCTGCGGTTGAACCATATTCCCAGGTGATCTATCTGTTTTTGTTTAAATTACTGTAAACATAACATCTCTGCAGGCAGGGTTGTCTGTCCTGTATATGTGATCTTCTATGCTCAGGATCTTAATTCTAATTCCCAGGTGTGCCTTGTATGTGCTTCCTGTATCTGTCATTATTAAATTGTCATTCTCAGACAATGTCAAGTCAAATAGTGAAGGCTGAAGCAACCACATTCCTAAAGGTTAGTTCTCTGTTCAGCAGTAACATGTAGCATGTGTCCAGAAAGCTAGTAGTAGATCCCAGAAGAATTTGTAAATTATAATTCAAACAATTATGAAACCCTAATCAGGAATGCATTATAGAAGGGAGTGCTAAGGGTTTGAACAACAGTTTCCATGGAATTCTAAAATGGGCCTAAGAATCTGTACAGAGCCAGAAAGATCTGGAGTTCAAGAAAAGCCTTGCCTATTATAGACATGTCTCAAAAAAGTCCAGTGTGGTGACTCTTACCTTTAATCCCAGCACTCAGGATTACAGATATTAGCCTTCAACCAGGTCTCAGGTCATGGCTTTCCTGTCTGGACAGATGTGATCGTCCCTATGTACATCCCAGGCCAGTGATTCCATGCACGGCTCACAGTTCATTTCACGTTTTTCCATGAGACACAATCTCTGCTAAACTACTGATACCAGCCATGAGCTCACTCTGAATTTCATGCAGGTGTTGACTTTGTTCCTTCTTTCTCACCCTTTTGAGTAAGATCTGCTTCATGGGCCATCGGTATTGGTAGTTCCCAGATCTAAACAAGGCTGAGTATGTTCTGGGGCACAGGTGAGGCCAAAGATCAGCCTGTACATAGCACAGCAAACAAGCATATAGGAAGTGCTAATTTAGTTGTGCGGTAGAGGTGCATGCCTTTAATCCTAGGATTTGGGTGGCAGAGGCAGGAGGATCTCACTGAATTCAAGGCAAGGATAGGCTCCAAAGGTAAGGAAACCTATTTGAAAACCCACAAGAATAAGGAAAAGAAATCACAATTTAGCCAGGTCAGAGTGGCACACACCCTTGGTGAAATCTTTTCCTGATTTATTAAAGCCACTGCAGATCAAAATAGCAAAGCAGCCATATTAGTTAGGCATAAGCCAGGCACACCTTTAATCCCAGGACAGAGTAATAGAGTTCACACCTTTAATCCCAGCACTAGAGTTCATAAAAGGTAGATCAGGGTCTTCAGTAGTCAGTCTCAGGATTATTCTCCAGCCACACAGCATAGAGGTAGCAGTGTGAAACTTGGTGAGAGGTGGTGGAGACAGAATCAGCCCTTTCAGCCTGAGATAAAGGTAAGAGGTAGTGGCTTGGCTGTGTTGCTTCTCTGAAATTCAGCTTAAGCTTGAACCCCAGTATCTGTCTCTGTGTCTGTTATGTAACTTGCTACACACACCATTAATCCAGGCACTCAGGAGATAGAGGCAGGCAGATGTGTGTGAGTTCCAGGCCAGCCTGGTCTCCAGAGCTAGGTCCAGGACTGTGGGACTGCTACACAGAGAAATACTGTCTCAAGAAACAGTACAGAAGTCCTCATCTTCACCAGGATCTCAGTTCATTCTCTTTCCTGTGTGTAGATCTAATCGACCTGAACATGCCCTATTTAGATGCTCTTCCACAAATATAGAAAGTTACTGAAACCCAGATGTAGAATCCACTTTTCTAGGCAACAATTCCTGAAAAAGTAAGGCAGATACAAATAAGCAAACTGATTAATTAATGAACACCACACAGAGAAATCATTAGTCTTTTGAGGTGACTTGGGGAATGGGTATTTGCTGTCAGCAAAGACTCAGTTCTTTCTCTTTTTCTGATGGGAGATGTAATCAAACTGGTCACACACAATTCATAACACTACATTCAGGCAGGAAGATTACTGAGACTTCCAGGTTATCTCAGGGTGCATAATGAGTTCAGATAGGTCTGAGTTACATAGAGAATTTATATGAAAGTTATAAGTGTATTAATGCAAGGAAGACAGTGCATCCTAGTGCTCTGAGTTTGTGGAGAAGTGTTATCGAGGCTTTTGGGACTTGACTACCATCTGGGATTTCATGCTTTCCCACATCTGATTTACTCAAGCCGTGGGTGTAAAAGTCAAAGTCAAAGTAGGACTGAATTGTTACATTCTCAGTTATCCAATTAGAAGGCAGCTTTTGCCTGAGAAGTGATCTATGAAGGGAAATTGTGGGAAGAAAGGGGCATATAAAGGTTATCATGGGTAGGCTAGGTACTGTTTGTTGGATCCTAAAGTGACTACCAGGACCTGCTGGGATTTGAACACCTGTTATGTGTGTCCTGATCAGGTAAGCCATTCACCCCCATCAGCTCACACACCTTTACCCAGGATCCCCAGTCTCTCAGGTCATCTTAGTATTCCTGATTTTCTTGTTTAGTTTGGTGTGGCTATTTTGAAACTGATTATTCCATTTAGCCCAGGCTAGCCTAGAAGTCCATATGTAGCTTATAGTTATGAGTTCTGGACCTGGAGCTAATCTAATGTTCCCTTTAATAGAATGCTGAGTTTGTTATATTCAAGGGCTAAGGAACATTGATCAAGCACTGACCATCAAGTGCAGTCTACCTTAAAAGTATTTAATTCAAAGTGACTATAGAGTTATAAACTGCCGATGAAGAAAATTCTACAGAACATCAGTTGGCCATGAATCTCAGGAAATAATCAAGATGACAATTCCCAGTAGTTGAACTCCTAAAGAGGGGTCTGGAGCTCAGTGTGACTCCAGGTTCTAAAGTTTAAAAAATAATAGTGACTGTATCCATTTCACATATTCTCCCAACAAGTTTCATTGATTGAATGCAAAGCATACTTGGCTGTGGGATCTTTAACTTTGCCCTTGAGGATCATGAGAGACATTTGAAGTTGGTTGACAGCATCAGAGTCTGGTTCTCCTTTAATTCTCAACCTTCTCCTTTTCTAGTGCAGTAGGATTCAGTGGGAACAGTGGTCGTGATTGGCAGAATAACAGAAAGGGGTTATTCTCTGGATCCTTCTATAGCACCTGTGTATGCTCCCCATCCTCGCTCAAGCTTCTGGCAATAAAAAGTCTCCTTAAAGATGAAGCCCTTTCTATCGCTGCTCTGAAGACCCTGCCCATGGAACTCTTCCCACCAGTTTTTAAAGTCGCCTTCGATGGCAAACAAACAAACATCCTGAGGGCCATGGTGGCAGCCTGGCACTTCAGATGCCTTCCCATGGGAGCCCTGATGAAGACCCATGACCTGGAAATTTTGAAGGCAGTGCTGGATGGCCTTGACATGCTGATTAATCAGAAGGATCGACCTAGGTAAGTGAGAAAATGTTAGCATGGAGGGGAAGTGTGTGGATGGAGGGAGGTGACTACAGAATTTAGAATGTGGTCCAAGTTGAATCAGAGCTTTCTTAGAGAAGTGCATAAATGACAACAGACAGTGGTGCATGGAGTGCACTGCTAATAGATGTAGACACATAGAGGGACTGTATCTCTGCTATTCTCCCCTCGGCCACTACAAATGGAAACAGTCTTTAGGTAAAGAATGGATTTAAGGGAAGTCAATGTGTGGGGTTTAATCAGAGTGTTCATTGGTAATCCTGTCATTTGATTCACTCTCTTTTTTGACCAACAGGAGTTGCAAACTAGAAGTCCTTGATTTTCGGGATGCCCAGCATAACTTCTGGAAGGTGTGGGCTGGAACAGAGGATGGTGTCTGCTCTCCAAATGTGGTTAGTGAGAGTCAACCAGTGGTGCGTCATCCCATTCGACAGGGAAAACAGGTTGTGACCGTGATGATAAATCTTTCCCTCAAGTCCAGGGATCTCTGTAAATCCCTAAAATATTTCCACTTGTGGGTCAAGCAGAGGAAAGATGTTCTGCAGGTGATCTGTGAAAAGCTGGAGTTTGGGGTCTTCCCTGTCTATAAGCCCCTAAACCTGCTGGAGGTATTTGAGCCAAGCTGTATACAGGAATTGGCAGTGAAAGCATGCTGGGACCTGAGAACCCTTTCGATGTTTGCCCCTGGCCTGGGCCAGATGAGAAACCTTCAGAAACTCCTTGTCAATGAAATCTTCACACCTTTGGATTGGTTTAGGAACCGAGAGAGGAAAGAATGGTGTTCTAGAGAGATAATTTCGCAGTTCTCCCATCTCACCAAGCTCCAACATCTCTATTTGAATGGTATCTTTTTCTTGAATGAAAGACTGGACCAAGTGCTCAGGTGAGGAAGGATGGAGAGCTTGCTCTGCAGGCCAGAGAGGAGCTTTTCCTTGTTACATGAAACATTAGTGCACACCTGAGACTTCCAAGTAAAACCCAGTATACACTGATATGACCTGAGGATGACTGATCTAGTAGTCGTTCTGCTACTTTAGTATCTATGATCTAGAAAAGGGCTTTGCTAGGGACCCAGATAAGGACAAAGCAGACCTACAAAGTTGATGTGGTTTTAAACCACATGTTGCCCAAGTCAGCCCTGTCATCAGAACTGTATGTAGAGTTTACATCTGTCTGTGATTCTACAACGCGCAGGTATTCTTTGAGCAAAGTTGTGGCCTGAGTCAGTGGAAAATGATTGAGAGTGATTAGCGCCACAGGGGAGCCCTGTCAGCAGTGCACGGTCTGTGCTAGGAAGGTGGAGCTCATGGAGACCAATGTTGGGGTATGGCTCTAACTTCCCCCTAGTAGTCTTCCTGCTCTCCTGCTGATATCATTGATCCCCTGATGAGAGTTTATGCTGTACAGTACAGAGGGAACAGGTTTTGGACGGAACAAGTCACAATGATGAGCATGTGTTGATCATTCTCCATCAGGGAGCATCCCAGGTTAGGACTTCTGGAAGCTCGCAGAATGAACTTAGGACTAACTAGCTTCTGCCATGTTGAAGTCCTTTCTTTTCTCTACCACTATTCCACTTACTGAGATAAACTTTGTTGTCTTTCCGTAGGTACTTGGAAAGTCCCTTAGAGACCCTTGCAATCACTCGCTGCAAGCTATCAGAATCAGACATGAGGTATCTGTCGCAGTGTCCAAGCGTCAGTCAACTCACATACCTGGACCTGAGTGGTGTCACTTTTTTATATTTAAGTAATCCACTCCTAGGAAGACTGTTGGAGAATGTGACAGCTACACTGCAGACATTAAAATTGAAGGGTTGTATGCTCATGAACTTCCAAATCGATGACCTCCTCCCAGCACTGAGTCAGTGCTCTCAGTTGGTTGAGGTGAATTTTGTGCACAACTTGCTGTCTGTGTCCAGTCTCAAGAAGCTGCTGCAGCATACTGCTAACCTGAGAAAGCTGACCCTGGAGATGTACCCTGCCCCTACTGAAGTCTATAATGACACTGGTGATGTCATGCCAGACAGATTTGTCCAGCACTGTTCTGAACTCTTGGAAACTCTCAGAGGTGTTAGAGAACCAAAAGAGATATATTTTGTTAGTAAGAGATGTTCATATTGCAGGGGATTCTGTGTCTCTGACCCGGAGGTTTCCCT